AAAACGGCCACAAGCGGACCTCCAAAAGGGCCGGGAGTCAAAATCACTGATATACCTTAGTTTTTTTTAATGATTTTCGCATTCTTGACTTTTCTGGCTGCCGTCAGCTCAAGACGGCCCAAGAGGACTCCACGATGGCCTAAGGAGCATCCAAGACGGCCGCAAGATGGCCCAAGAGGGCCTCCCGTGGGACCCAAGCCGGCCTTAGAAGGCCCTTCGACGGCCCAAGACGGCGCCAAGAGGGCCCACAGACACCCACCATACAGCCAAGAGGGCCCCAAGACGGCCAATGAGAACCCCATACCGGCGTGAGAGGGCCCTTCGACGGCCGCAGAGGGGCCCCGAGCGACCCCCAAGACAGTCTCTCAGGAGGCCAAGACAGCCCCAAGACGGCCCAAACGAGTTTCATCATCGTCGTCATCACCACCACCACCATCATCACCACCACTACCACCACCCCCACCACCACCACCACCACCACCATCATCATCATCATCATCATCATCATCATCATCATCATCAGCAACAACAACATCCACAACAGCATCAGCATCATCATGAGCATCAACATCAACATCAGCATCATCAGCATCGCCATCACAACCATCACTTGATTATATCATCATCGTCACTACCATAATCAGAATCATCATCATCACCACCATCATCTGACTATAATATCATCATCATCACCACCACCATCATCAGCAGCAGCAACAACAGCAGCATCCTCATCCTCATCCTCATCCTCCTCATCATCATCTTTATCGCCATCCCCATGATCACCATCATCATCAAACGAATAATCAACATCATCAACAGCATAACACGTAACGTCATTGTCATCGTCGTCGTTGTCGTCATCATCCACATTACTACCAGTATCATCAACACCATCGTCATCACCCCAACATTTCATCATACTCATCACGGCTCTCCCAGGCCTGGAACACGAGGCGTCACAAGTGACGGTGCGGGGCTTGCCGCAGGCAGCTGGATAATCAATAGCCAAATCTTCGTCCTAATTCCGCTCCTCTGGCACTGGTTCCTCCCCTCCTATCTCCTCCTCCTCCTCCTCCTCCGACCGCGCAAAGCCGAGGATAGCCGAGGAGGCAAACCCGGCAAAGCTAAACACGCTGTGTGTGCTATACTGCGTTCTCGATGATATCGACCCCTCCTGAACACTGAATAGCACACGCTTCGATACGTGAAAAGACGATACGGACATAAAGAGGTTCTGGCCCAAAATTGGCGTCGAAAATAATCGAAATCTCAGGAATGTACTAGTGGTCGAATTGGACAGGTGTTGCCAACTTTACGCGGGCAAAATGTCTCAACACCTACCCTGCTCAGATAGGCTTCGGAGGATCTCCGCTTCCCAAACCGACCCCCAAACCATTCTGGAGCCCGTGCCAACAAGCGGCATGCTCCAGGTGAGGCAAGAGGCAAGGCCACTGCTCGCGTGCGCACCTTCGTGCCACAGCCCCAAGGCACAGCGGAAGCCAGGGAGCGTCGCATCGCTGGGGACACCCATGCGTCCGTGGTTCCGCCCTCCCTCTGCTGCCAGGTGAACGAAATGGCGCGGTAAGGTTGTCATTCGTGCCAGCGGCCAGTTCCGAGTGGACCAAAAAGGTTTCCCTCTCTGCTGGGGCCCATGGTCGCTGTGGAAGATGAGGGGCGCGGTATCGGCAAGGGCACCGGTAAGGTGCATGCGGAGCCGCCTCTTACCTCTTACCCGAAAAGGTCACTGCACCGACCTTGCAGATGTGCTGCAGCGGATTTTTGCGTGGATTTCTGTCGATGCAAAACCCCGAAACGGCGAGCGAAAAACGAAGCGAATTTCACGCGGATTTTTGTTTTGCCTTCATTCCTGGTCAATGAAAATCCGCACGAACTTCGCTGCGAAATCCGGAACGAAATCCCCCAGGGCACTCCGGGACCATCCTGTTGTTTTCCGGACGAGATCCGCTCTGCGATGTTGGCGCCGTGAGAAAAGGCTGAGTAGCCGAGACGGCCGAGGAGAAACGCGAGCGGCGGAGGAGGAGGAGGACGAGGAGTAGGAAGAGGAGGAGGAGGAGAAGGCGGAGGAGGAGGAGGAGGAGGAGGAGGGCGGGGCGCGGGTTGGTGAGCCAATGGGCGCTGCGCCGGGCCCCGCCGGGGCGGCTGAACCACGCGCGCCGCGGGGGCCAGACCCTCCCAGTCCCCCAGGGGCGCCGAAGACCTACGAAAACGCGGAGGGCTTGGCCTCCCTTCTGGAAGCTTTATTCTCCTCCGTTCTCGAGGCCTCCCCCATCCAGACTGAGGGTTCCATTTCCGAGGCACATACGGTGGGGGAACTGGACAAGGAAACCTTAGATCAGGAATCCAGGGTCTGGAAGCCAATGGGAAAACCAATCGTGGATCGGCCACGGATATCACTGCCGCCCTCGTTGGATGAGGAATCCTCCAGGGTCTGGGGCCTCCTGGGCTGTTCCTCAACAAGCGCCTCCACCGTATCTTCGATCCTCGGGGCAAGGCCCCTGGAGCGTGGCTCTCTTCTCGTCTGCCTGCCGGCCTGGGTCCGGGGCCAGCGTGCGCACGGCGTTTGCCCTCGCCGGCACGCTCGCGGGCGCGCGCCGCCGCCAGCCCGAGAGGAAGGGGTTCGGCAGGTCTTGCTCGCCGCAGACACACGCCAGCACTCAAACTCGAGACGCTGGACCCACGAAGTTCGCTGGTCGCGATCGCGTCGGCGGAAGAGGAGGAGGCGGAGGAGGAGGAAGCGGAGGCGGCGGAGTAGGAGAAGGCGGGGAAAGGGCTAGGGTGCTACGCGACGGTTCACAGCGGCCCAAACGGCCACTTAGAAAATAACAGCCATACCCCACCAATTGCTTCAAGACTGTTCGCTCTTATTGCTCGCGTGTCCCTCAACATCTCTATCCCGAACCCTCGATACCCGCCTTCTTCGTCTTCGATCGTGCCCCCTTCAAGGGGATATCTTCCTTCCCTGCCACGTGTAATTGGCGCTGCTCTTACACTCGGAAGAACAACAATAATGGAAAAAGGAAGAACGAAGAGGAATGGAGTGGAGGAAGGGAGGGAGGAGGGAAGGGGGCAACAGCGAGGGAGGGAAACAGTGGAGGCCACTCCACAAGAAACCTTCCACAAGAAACCCAACCCTGAGACCCCAGGACGCCCATGGTTTTTTGCATGGGGACGTCACGCCTGTCCATCGCAAAACTATCGGAAACCAAGAAACCCAGGGCACCCTGGAGGCAAGCAGGGTGTTTTTTTTGGCATGGGCCTCCACTGTAGCGTGGAGGACGACAAGGGTTCGGGATTCGTGGATACGTTGTAAGGCAGTCCCAGGCGAAAGCGCGATTCATGGATAAGCTACAAATGCGTCTCGAGCGTAACATCGATTTCTCAATACACTCCAAGGGAGTATCCAGCTGAAGCCGCTGTTGTGGTAAACTGGGGGGCCAACAACACTGTAAGAGCCTCAATACGTTCCCTTGTAACAAACAGGGTGCGAACCCCGGGAGGGGCATTTCAATTGAAAAACACAATGGGCACTAGAGGATGGAAGCGACAATACTGATTCTCTATACATGAGAACGCAACGCCTAACTATCACGACAACCCAGGTGGGGGGGGGAGCAACCTGGAGTTTTTGCGATGCCGCGGCGCCAACGGATCGGCTCGACAGACCCCCGAGGGCGAAGCCGCGCGTTCCCGGGCGGGCCCCGACGAGCGATGAGTGGGCCGCTGGCGGTCGACGCTTTCCCCCATGACTTCACCGCGCCCGCGGTGCGCGACACCTCGCGCGGGGCACAGCCTTCGCGCGGGCTCGAAGGGCCGCGAGGCAAAGGAAGGTGAGAAGTGAGACGGGGGAGAGATCCAAGCGGATGACAACGGGGAGGATTAAAAACCTTCGAATGGAGGCCCGAAATCCATTATGCAGGCTCCGCCCCTCCATTCTGGAGGCGTTTCGCTTCCAGGCTGGAGGTCTGACCTCCAGAAGAAAAATGGACACTTAGGGCTTAGGGTCCACTCGGAATAGCATCGATACGATCCCCCACCCTGGGGCCAGTCCCCCCCCCCAGCCAGCGCTCCCGACCTCGGTGGCTCAAAGATGGAGTCCTGAGGGATGGGGTCCAAGGATACGGGTGCCAGAAACAATTAAGAAACACTCAGGCAGAACACGTGGTTTGAACTCCCCCCGCCCCCCCAGATGCAATGTTGGTTTGGTTATCAAGGAACGCGCCAACTTTGAATTCGCGGGGGAGGGGGGGGAATTGCTCAACTTCTTCCATCAACCGTAGGATGGGGACCAAGGGTGGATTTACACTGAGTGAGGCACCTCGTCCTCAGGACCCCCATCCTTCAGGACCACCGACGACCCCGTCCTGAGGCGCCGTCCTTAGGCCCCCTTCCTTGAGCACCCGTCCGTAGGCCCCGTCCTGAAGGACCCGTGCCTCAGGCAGCGGAATGCTGAAGGCCCCCTTTAATTTCGATAGCAAGATCTCATAATCGACATGGTCAAAAGCACCAGCTACGCCAGAGCAATACAGAGCAACGATCATGCCAAAAGACAGCGCGCCAAGCCAAGACATAGCCAAGACTTAGTGAATACATAATGGCTCCATGAAATCGTCCGTCCGGCATTTTCTCTCTTCAGGTGTCCGCCAGGTGAACGCGCCAATGCAGCCTTTACGTCGTTCGCACGGTCGGAAAGACGGCTCGAAGGTCCCTTTGCAGCTCCCGGCGCCAGCAGCAGCACTAGACATGGCTTCGTACCGAGAGAACGTGCGCAGTTACACTAAGCAGTGTGTCGATTGACCGCCCCAGCTATACTTAAGCAGAAGTTGTTATGATCTGCCAAACCAGCGACGAAGGACCTCTCGCAGGCTTCCCGCACACTTTTTGAAACGATGCTCAGTAGCTCTGCCTGCCAGCTTCTACTCTGAAAGCATCTCTCGCTCCGTGCTGCCCCGTCTCTGCACCACCGACAACCCCCCCTCCTGGCGGCTGGGCGCGGGCCGCCAGCGGGGCCGCGGGCACGCACCTCGCTGGATTGGCCTGCGGCCGCCGCCGCCGCCGTCGCCGTCGCCGTCGCCGTCGCCGTCGCCGTCGCCGTCGCCGTCGCCGTCGCCGTCGTCGTCGTCGTCGTCGTCGTCGTCGTCGTCGTCGTCGTCGTCGTCGTCGTCGTCGTCGTCGTCATTATCGTGGTCGTCTTCGTCGTCGTGGTCGGCGTCGTCTTCGTCGTCGTCGGCGGGAGGGCGGGAGGAGGCAGGGGGAAAAGGAGGGGGGATGAGGAGGGGGGGGCGCAGCAATGGAAAAATGGAGTGGAGGGCGCGGCGATCCGAGAACCACCCCCTCCCCGTGCAGGAGCGAAACCGTCAGATTCGACACCTCGCCCCGAGCGCCCGCCCTGTGGTCGTCGATTTTTCGTTTGCGTGTGCTTGAGCAGCCTGACCTGGACCATGCTCCGTACGCTCCATGCCCTGAGCAAACCTGGCGTGACGATGAATCCGCGTTGACGGCTCGGTGCCTTCCACCCCAGGGGTGCCTTGCCTCTGTCTCACCTGCTTGCGCACCGATCAAGAGCTTCCTTCCGGGCGCGCCATCCCAGCTGGTGCACACTCGTTCCCTCCTCCCCCCGAGGCGCCCCGTCCACCCCAGGTGGTGCGCCTCCCGTCCCCCGCGGCCCCTCTCCCCCCAGGCGGCGCCCCAGCATTTACACCACTCGGTGCACCGATCAGGTGCGTTCTACCAGCACGTGGGTGATGGAATCATTTGGCGCGGCCGCCGTCTCTTCGGGACGCTGCGCCCGCCGACGGCTTGGACGACCCTGGTGGTGTGGCGCTCGCGCCGCCCGCGTGGGTCTCACGGGCCCGCCTCCCGTCAGCCACGCCCCTGGGCCAGCTGGCCCGTGGCGCGTGCCAGGAGGCGCCCCTCTGCCACCCCGCCTCGGGCGCTGGCGCATGCGCGCCTGCTGCCTCCAGGCTGGGTGCAGCCTGGGCCGGCTGCTATGCCTCCAGCTGGCAATGGCCCCTCCCCGCTGTCTTCGCGGTGGGAAACCTTCGCCCCGCCCCCCTTGGAGCGGGGTGCCCCCCGCCCTCACTTATGATGCGTGCGCCGGCTGTGTGCGGGTTCCGCCGCCCCCCTCTCACGGCGTTTCGCCGCTGCTGGGCCTGCGCGTCGCCTTTGGCCGCGCATGCCCGCCGCCTCTCTGGACGGCGACCTGGGGCCACAGCCGGCTGCCCTGGTACCCGCCCTCGGCGCCCGATCCGTGCACCCGCCATCCGCCCTGGTCTCCTCCCGCCCGTGGATCTGCTGGTTGGGCGCGCTACCGCGCCCCCGCCCTCTGCTGCGCCGCCTCGTTACTGGCAGGCTGCTGGCTGGATCAGTTCCCGCAGCGCTGCCAACATCTGCAGCAGCAGACAGCTCTGCCCGCCACTCTTCAGCTGGCCCCCGACCATACCCGCTGCGTTTGTGATCACCTGCTGGCTTACATCGGCCCTGCACTGGACTGGGACGTCTTCGGCATGGCCTTCGCGCCCTCCTCCCGTACTGTGTTTCTTCTGTTTCGCGCACTGCAGCCCCTGCGTCAACCCCTGGGTGTGGCCGTGACGCCGCCCCGCGCCCACTGCCAAGCTGATGCAGCACTGGGTGGCCGCACCAGCCGCTCCAAGGCGATGCACTTCGCCATGTGAGTGCCCTGCCTCCCCTCCTTCCACCCCGCGGCCGCTTTCGCCTGTCGCCCCGAAACAATATCTTGATTCCTGGGGGATAGCACGTGTTACCGGGCGGGGGGGGGGTAATGGTAACGGGGGCCGCGGCGCGCACCCCTCGAGGCGTGCCGCCTACGTCGTCGTCGTCGTCGTCGTCGCCGTCCAAGCCCAATACCTATGCACACAACGTGGGCTCTGTACACCAATATTCCTTTTTGCAAGATGACTGCTACAGAAGCGGTATGTGTGCACTACAGCGACTGTATAAGCCATAACAACCGTGTCCACTGCAGCGCCTTTGTACATCTCACTGTTTGTGCACACCACGGCGCCTGCGTGCACCACAGCTGCTGTTTCAGCACCCCCTGTGCACCACAATGCCTGTGTACACAACAAAGCCTGTGCACACCTGAAAATACCGACGGAGCCAAACTCCTGCCGCCGGATAATTTGCGTTTCCGTGTCCCGGATCGCCCAAACGCGCGTGCGGACTGCCTCATCACGGGGGAATCATTCATATCAAACCCAAGAACCGTCAGAACCAACGACATGGACTCATCAGGAAAAAATGAAGGAGGGGTCGCAAAACTGACGGAACCACTTCCCTCACCACTAAGAGAGGGTCACAAAAAAACTGGCGACCGCCACCTGGGGAACTGCGGGGATATTGCAGCGAAGAGGGGTTGGGAATTCTGACGACGGCGCGGCCGCCCGACCCCCTTTGCTTTGCTGAAAATGAACCGACGACGGCGCGGCCAGAAAGCCCCTAAGCTTTCTATTGGAGTCGCGCTAGTGATACTGCCTCTGCCACGCTGCGACGCAAAACATGCTTGAGCAGCCTGCGTCAAAACATGCATTCTTGAGGCCGCTGCCCGTGTCAGAAAAATGCACTGCGAGACGGGTCGCCGCCCCTCCCTCCCAAGAGGGCGGCGCAGGCGCCGTCGCCTGGTCCCCGGGTTCCACGTCGTCCTGGTCCTGGGGGCCCTCGACCGAGATTGACTCCGCCTCGGAATCCTGCCCGCGCGGGCGCGTGGCCGAGCTCCTGCTGCTGCTGTTCTCTGCGCCCCTCCCTCCTTCAAGCGCCCCCTCGTCGCTCATCGTCCCTCCCTCCCTCTCATCATTCCTCCTCCCTCCCTCGTGCTCCTGCTGCTGCTGCTCCTCCTCTTCCTCCCTCCGTCCCGCCCTCTCCCCCTTCCCGCCCACCCGTCCCCCTGCTCGTTTCCAGGATTCCGGGTTCGCAGAATATTTACAACGTATCGTAGTAGCAGTGTTGTCAAAGGGAAACAGCAATGAGGGGAAGGAGAGCCAAACGATGCCGCAGTCAAAGTCCAGCCTTCCTCGCAGTTGGATGCTGCGCCCGGAAAAATTCGACCTGGCGTTCGGATCGCGGCCTTCCTCCAACAGAGACAGCGACCTCGCAGCATCATTCCGTGCCGTACGCACTATGAAGTGCCCGCTGGGCTCGGCCAGAGGGATGAGACCTGGGCCGACCCTTGTTGGCAGCCGCGTTGGCTACGTCGCGAAGGGGCCTGCAAACCTGATCCCAAACGCAAGCTGACAACTTGCTGAACCTCTGGATCTTCTCCCGGCGCTTCAAAAACCTGCCCCGGAGAAGCTCGGAGCGCAGGCTTTCCCCAGCAGCGCGTTCGACCGCCCTGTCCGCAGCGCCGTTCCCCTTCCAGGCCCAAAATGGGACTCCCAGGTTCACGGCAGCAGGCCAACCCGCGCGAGCTGGCGCGCCAACCGAATAATTTCTTTGAACCTCGGGGTCACGGCGGCAAACATAGATTCCCTTCCCGAACTCAGCGCACGTTAAACTGGAGACGTCCGCTTCGGGCCCTTGGGCCCATACCTTGACAGCGGCCTCGCAGTCGGTCGCGCGCGCCACAGGCCCTGGGCACAAGTGCCACATGATCGTGAGAATCGCAGAGACTTCGGCCCCACAAGCGGCGACGACGCACACGCTCCAGAAGTCCCCGGGCGCTTACACTTGCCCAGAATCATCGACAACCGCCAGCGCCCAGGAATCGCGGGCAAACGAGGGCAGCTCGGAGTGCAACGCCGAGCCGCGCGATCCTGGAACAACTCTCGAAGGGCCGCAAATCCTCCCGGCACGCGCGCGGCTGACAGGCCTGAAGGTTCTTGGTATGCCTGCGCAGGTGAAACAAACGGGCGCCGCAGCATTGGGCTGCGGCGCAGAAAAAATCAGACCCTGATGTTCCCGACCGATCCTCTTGAGCGAAGTACCCTCTGTGCACAACTTGACAAGCCCGAAAATGCGTTTCCGCGCGCCGCCCAGAACCACGGCCGCCCCGGCGGGCAAGCTCCAGCGGCCGAAACTCTGAAGGCGCCAGCCTAACCTGCACGGCGCCATGATCGTGACCCCCACGTGGGGCCTCTGACCATGCCCCCAGACGCGCTATCACCGAAGCCTCTGGAAAATTGAAGGCCGACGCAATTTGGACCTCCGGGGCCCGGTCTCGCCAGAGAGCTTGCTCTCAAGCCCCGACAAGCAAACTTTTGCTGACAAAGCTGGGGCCCGCTTCGAGGGGGGCAACCGCGATTGAACCGCGCGAGGCCCGCCCCGAGCGGGCCCAGGGAGGCCCCGTCCTGCAGCTCCTCGACGGCGTTCGAGCACGGCGCTCGAGACCCCCAAAGTGATGGCGCCGCAGGGGCCCGCTGGGATGGCGTTCGCGCGCGCAGCCCAGGCCAACTTCCCGAGCTGAGACTTGAGGGGGCGGAACCGACCAGCTTGAGCGCGGGCCCTGTGAATCCGCTGACGCCGGATGCCTGATCGACGACCTCCGACCGCCTCCCGCGCGACATCGCCCCCCGCCCCCCCGCGCCCTCCATCGATGTTTTTGACGCGGCGAGAACGCTTGAACTTCCACTGCTTGAATTTTTCTGATATCTACTTCGCGGGGCCCCCTGAGGTGGCTGCGATCTTTCTGTTCAATCTGGACATGGCCATGTACTTTGACTCGAGGCCGCGGCGGAGAGCACGCGTGACTGGCGCGGACGCCTGGGGCGCTGCCTTGCGCGCGCCAACGACCTGCGCGGTCGCGTCGCCCAACGCACCGAAACGTCCGGTAACTGGCGGCGGGAACCGCTGAGAGACATCTCCCAGCACCTCCGAAACCCAAACTCGCAGATGGGAAGCGGCGCCCCAGCAGCCCGCGACGATGGGCCCCAGATCCGCGCGCGCGCCTGGATGCGCGGCGCCCAGGGAGCAGGCGCCTCGAATCCCATGAATATGAAACAATGGGTAGTTCCACTTCTTGGCAGCAGCGATGAGTTGGGCGCGCGAAGCCTCATCGCGCGCTTTCGCGAGGCCCAATGCACTGTCGACGACCGAGAGGCCCCGAGAAACAACATGCCCTGTGGCACGCGCTTGCCCCCAGACAGCGCTCTCGCGCGGCCCCCCCTGGGCAACGTTAAAGTGCGGCCTGTTGCTGCTGGCCCCCCAACTCGCTGCAACGCGCCGTGGGGGCGTGCCCCAGTGGCGCAAGACCGCGCCGATGATGCCCATGAGCCCGGCGCCCCCTCTGGCCCGCGCAAGGGCGACAACTGCGCGATGCCTTGTTTGAGCACGGCGCTTCTAGGCAGACGTCCGAGACGACCGCGAAAGCCCCGGGGCCAAGGCGGTCAGCCCCTCAGGCCGCCCAGGCTTTGAACCGCTGACCTGATGCGCCGAGGCTCGCAGGCGACTTCGGGGGGTTCCAGGGCCTCGAGGAACTCCGAAAAGTCAACCATGCACTCCTGCGCAGCAAGCTCCCAGACATCCCCCCAGTAAACAAGGTGCCCCCGCTAGTTGCTGCCGGGGACCTGGCGGGGCATCTCCTCGACGAGCGCGGGCGGGCCTCCATTCTGCGGGGCGCTTTGCATGGCCGCGGGCGCGATCTCCACTTTGACCGACGGCCTCCTTGACACATGCCCGCCGCTGAACTGCTCTCGCGCGAGCGAATGCTGCTTCGAGGCGCTCGGCTTGCTCTCCAGCAAGCCGAAAGACATCGCGGGGGCCAAGTGCCGACGCGCCCGCCCACGCGACTGGGCGTGAAAAGGCGGAACAGGCAGGGGGGGCGTGGATCTTCCTGGGGCCGACCATCACTTCGGCCGGGGCCCTGCCAGCTCGACGCTGGGCGCCAAGCCCAGGCCGAAGGGCGCGCCGCAGGGCGCGGGCGCTTGGGCAGCGGCGACCCGGGGGGCCGTGGCCCCCCAGCCTGCGGCTCGCTCACAGTACCAATCGTTCTGGTCCTCTGAGATGCCGCGGGTGCCACCTAACTCCTCTTCCTTGAAATTCACCAAGTCCCCGTGGGCCTTGTTGAGGTCCTCCGGAGAGCTGAGAGCCCTGGGCCTCGAGCGCCTGAATGGGTGAGCTCCGATCATGCGGGGCTGGAACTGGGCCAATAAAAACCCCTTGCGGGAACCTCCTGGGGCCCTTTAACACAGCGGTGCTTGTCAAAACCAACCGAGCGCGCCATCGGATCACAACAGGCCGATGCGGTTACAGGAACGAACTGACGGCAACCGAACAGCTCAAAACACCGGGAATCAAGGCATCCGAAACCACTGAGAAAACTCAGGCACGACCAGCGCCTGACCTGCGCGTGATCTCATAAGGCGCAGCAGTCCTGCGTCGCAGCTTACTAGCCCAACCGTGCCGAACGAGCCCTGGCGGAGTCGGTTTCCAGCTGCCTCCGACAATGAACAGTCTACAGAATGCGGCTTTTCGCCGAGACGTGCGAGCAGCGCGGCCCCCTCGACTCCGAACGGAGCGTCGGTTGGCCCCCTGGGAAAAGCGCACTTATCCAACGAGCGAGTGCGCGATGAAAGCCGGGAAGCGGCTGGTAAAAAGGACGAAGTGAAACGCTCGCGCCAGGACGCGGCGCCACCCCACCTGACCACCCTCCTACTCCAGTTACTTTGCTGGGGCTGCGATCGACCAGTGCCCGGCGCGCCCTGGTCCCGGAGTTGCTTCCCCCTCTGTTCCTGGGGATCTGGCCGCGCATCTATCTCCCGGGACGTCAGAATCTGCATGGCTTGATCTTTCAGAACTGAAGATCGAGACTGCGCGCATGACAGAGCCAACCTTCGCGAAGTAGCGCTGGCCGCCCATGTCGCCACAGCTCCGTCAAAAAACACGCGGCTCACCAGCCTGGCCCGTGCCTCTTGAGCCTCGGCAACGAAGACCGCCGTCGCGGAGATCTCGTCCAAGTTGGACTCCCCCTGGAAATCGACCACTTCGGTTCCCTGAGCAGGAGAGGCCGGCGAAGCCCCTCCTGCCGCCGACGCCTCCGCCGCCGCGGGCCCCCCGCGGCGCTCTGGCCGCAGCCTGCGCGGGGCCAGCAGCCCCAGCTGCCGCAGTGCAAGACTCCACAGCCGCAGCGCCACCTTCTGCGCGAGCCTCCACGCGCCCACGCTTGGCCGCCACTCTATCCTGGAGTTTGATTGGCTGGCCGACGAGCTCCGCAGCTTTGTTTTTCCGCCCCAACGCGTCGACCGCAGCTTGTCGGAAGATGGCCTGGACCCCACTTTTTCCCCGCAGCAGCTCCTTTTTGTCACCCTCTGAGAATGTGATGTCGAGCAGCCCGATATAACGCCGCTTTCGCCTGCTGAAGACAGTGCGGCGCAGCGCCGACTGAGGGCGTACGAGGAGGTCTGGCGGCGGCTTCCAACTTCTTGACATGGCCCTCTTATTCGTTGAGCTGGTCCAGATCTCCCAATTCACGGGAAGGCCTACGCCGACTTTTTTAATTTCGGCAGTTCGCCCACTGCGTGCACTCCGCAGTTCCTTCCACCGCCCGTCGCGTGCAGCCAACCAAACTCGATAAACTGCACCCCGACCTGTCCGATATGCAAAGCTGCCTGGGGAGGTCGCGTGGGTGGGGCCTTGTCCTGCAGTGCCGACGGCCAGGACGAAGGCTTATCATCACTCAAATAGTCTAACAGCCACTGAGCCCCGCCGGAGCTCCAAGCCCCAACATCCGTAACACCACGATCGCGGCAAGGAGCAT